CATGCGCTTTACACCGATATGACCTAAACGGCAGTGTCACAAATAAGTTGCACTATCATTATTAACTTTGCATCTTTTGGCTTCAATATTACGAATATGTGTATCACACGATCGAGATCCAACAAACTATTTTCATTGGGTGTATGACCAATAAGTTTTTATTCATGTAAACAGAACAACAATTATTCTCTAACTTACATGAATAACCGTATTGCAATAAACATGATCAAATCATATTCATGCTCAACGCAAACACCAAATAACACTTATTTAGGTTTAACACTAATCCCGAAAGTATAGGGAGTGTGCGATGATGATCATATGAATCTTGGAACTACTTCCAACACTCATCGTCACTTTCCCTTCAACTAGTCTCTGTTTATTCTGTAACTCCTGTTTCGAGTTACTAATCTTAGCAACCGAACAAGTATCAAATACTCAGGGGCTACTATAAACACTAGTAAAGTACACATCAATAATATGTATATCAAATATACTTACGTTCACTTTGCCATCCTTCTTATCCGCCAATCAATTGGGGTAGTTCCGCTTCCAGTGACCAGTCTCTTTGCAGTAGAAGCACTTAGTCTCAGGCTTAGGACCAGACTTGGGTTTCTTCACTTGAGCAGCAACTTGCTTGCCATTCTTCTTGAAGTTCCCCTTCTTTTCCCTTTGCCATTTTTCTTGAAACTAGTGGTCTTGTCAATCATCAACACTTGATGCTCTTTCTTGATTTCTACCTTCGTTGATTTCAACATCACGAAGAGCTCGGGAATCGTTTTCGTCATCCCTTGCATACTATAGTTCATCACGAAGTTCTAGCAACTTAGTGATGGTGACTAGAGAATTCTGTCAATCACTATCTTATCTGGAAGATTAACTCCCACTTGATTCAAGCGATTGAAGTACCCAGACAATCTGAGCACATGCTCACTAGTTGAGCGATTCTCCTCCATCTTTTAGCTATAGAACTTGTTGGAGACTTCATATCTCTCAACTCGGGTATTTGCTTGAAATATTAACTTCAATTCCTGGAACATCTTATATGGTCCATGACGTTCAAAACGTCTTTGAAGTCCCGATTCTAAGCCTTTAAGCATGGTGCACTAAACTATCAAGTAGTCATCATATTGAGCTAGCCAAACGTTCATAACGTCTACATCTGCTCCTGCAATAGGTCTGTCACCTAGCCGTGCATTAAGGACATAATTCTTCTGTGCAGCAATGAGGATAAACCTCAGATCACGGATCTAATCCGCATCATTGCTACTAACATCTTTCAACACAGTTTTCTCTAGGAACATATCAAAATAAACATATGAAAGCAACAACGCAAGCTATTGATCTACAACATAATTTGCAAAATACTATCAGGACTAAGTTCATGATAAATTTAAGTTCAATTAATCATATTACTTAAGAACTCCCACTTAGACAGACATCTCTCTAGTCATCTAAGTGATCACGTGATCCAAATCAACTAAACCATGTCCGATCATCACGTGAGATGGAGTAGTTTTCAATGGTGAACATCACTATGTTGATCATATCTACTATATGATTCACGCTCGACCTTTCGATCTCCGTGTTCCGAGGCCATATCTGTATATGCTAGGATCGTCAAGTATAACCTGAGTATTCCGCGTGTGCAACTGTTTTGCACCCGTTGTATTTGAACGTAGAGCCTATCACACCCGATCATCACGTGGTGTCTCAGCACGAAGAACTTTCGCAACGGTGCATACTCAGGGAGAACACTTCTTGTAATTAGTGAGAGATCATCTTAAAATGCTACCGTCAATCAAAGCAAGAATAAGATCTGTAACAGATAAACATCATATGCAATCAAAATATGTGACATGATATGGCCATGATCATCTTGCGCCTTTGATCTCCATCTCCAAAGTACTGTCATGATCTTTATCGTCACCGGCACGACACCATGATCTTCATCATCTTGATCTATATCAATGTGTCGTCACATGGTCGTCTCGCCAACTATTGCTCTTGCAACTATTGCTATCGCATAGCGATAAAGTAAAGCAATTATTTGGCACTTGCATCTTATGCAACAAAGAGACAACCATAGAGCTTCTGCCAGTTACCGATGACTTCAACAAAACATGATCATCTCATACAACAACTTATATCTCATCACGTCTTGACCATATCACATCACAACATGCCCTGCAAAAACAAGTTAGACGTCCTCTACTTTGTTGTTGCAAATTTTACGTGGCTGCTACGGGCTTAGCAAGAACCGTTCTCACCTACGCATCAAAACCACAACGATAGTTTGTCAAATAGACTCCGTTTTAACCTTCGCAAGGACCGGGCGTAGCCACACTCGGTTCAACTAAAGTTGGAGAAAGTGACACCCGCCAGCCACCTGTGTGCAAAGCACGTCGGTAGAACCAGTCTTGCGTAAGCGTACGCGTAATGTCGGTCCGGGCCGCTTCATCCAACAATACCGCTGAACCAAAGTATGACATGCTGGTAGGCAGTATGACTTATATCGTCCACAACTCACTTGTGTTCTACTCGTGCATATAACATCAACGCATAAAACCTAGGCTCGGATGCCACTGTTGGGAACGTAGTAATTTCAAAAATTTCCTACGCACATGCAAGATCATGGTGATGATATAGCAACGAGAGGGGAGAGTGTTCGTCCACGTACCGTCGTAGACCGTAAGCGGAAGCGTTATGACAACGCGGTTGATGTAGTCGTACGTCTTCACGATCCGACCGATCCAAGTACCGAACGTACGGCACCTCCGAGTTCAGCACACGTTCAGCTCAATGACGTCCCTCGAACTCCGATCCAGCCGAGTCTCGAGGGAGAGTTCCGTTAGCACGACGGCGTGGTGACGATGTTGATGTTCTACCGGCGCAGGGCTTCGCCTAAGCTTCGCGACGGTATGACCGAGGTGGAATATGGTGGAAGGGGGCACCACACATGGCTAAGGAACGATCTGTAGATCAACTTGTGTCTTCATGGGGTGCCCCCTGCCCCCGTATATAAAGGAGCAAGGGGGGAGGAGGCCAGCCCTAGGAGGAGGCGCACCAAGTGTGGAGTCCTACTTGGACTCCCTAGTCCTAGTAGGATTCCACTTCCCTTGTTGGAGTAGGAGAAGGGGAAAGAGGGGGAGAGGCGGAAGGAAAGGGGGGCTGCGCCCCTTGTCCAATTCGGACCAGAGGGGGGGCGCATGCCTCCTTCCTTTTGGCCTCTCTCCTCTATTCCCGTATGGCCCAATAAGGCCCATATACTACCGGCGAATTCCCGTAACTCTCCGGTACTCCGAAAAATACCCGAATCACTCGGAACCTTTCCGAACTCCGAATATAGTCGTCCAATATATCGATCTTTACGTCTCGATCATTTCGAGACTCCTCGTCATGTCCCCGATCTCATCCGGGACTCCGAACTCCTTCGGTACATCAAAACTCATAAACTCATAATATAACTGTCATCGAAACCTTAAGCGTGCGGACCCTACGGGTTCGAGAACTATGTAGACATGACCTAGAACTATTCTCGGTCAATAACCAATAGCGGGACCTGGATGTCCATATTGGCTCCTACATATTCTACGAAGATCTTTATCGGTCAAACCGGATAACAACATACGTTGTTCCCTTTGTCATCGGTATGTTACTTGCCCGAGATTCGATCGTCGGTATCCAATACCTTGTTCAATCTCGTCACCGGTAAGTCTCTTTACTCGTTCTGTAATGCATCATCCCGTAACCAACTCATTGGTCACATTGCTTGCAAGGCTTATAATGATGTGCATTACCGAGAGGGCCCAGAGATACCTCTCCGACAATCGGAGTGACAAAACCTAATCTCGAAATACGCCAACTCAACATGTACCTTCGGAGACACCTGTAGTACTCCTTTATAATCACCCAGTTACGTTGTGACGTTTGGTAGTACCCAAAGTGTTCCTCCGGTAAACGGGAGTTGCATAATCTCATAGTTACAGGAACATGTATAAGTTATGAAGAAAGCAATAGCAACATACTAAACGATCAAGTGCTAAGCTAACGGAATGGGTCAAGTCAATCACATCATTCTCCTAATGATGTGATCTCGTTAATCAAATGACAACTCTTTTGTCCATGGCTAGGAAACATAACCATCTCTGATAAACGAGCTAGTCAAGTAGAGGCATACTAGTGACACTATGTTTGTCTATGTATTCACACATGTATTATGTTTCCGGTAATACAATTCTAGCATGAATAATAAACATTTATCATGAAATAAGGAAATAAATAATAACTTTATTATTGCCTCTAGGGCATATTTCCTTCAAACTTACCAACTACTCTTTTTTACATGCTTCAAGATGGAGGCTGATAGAAACGTAGTCTTCGATAGGACTAGATATCCCCCTTTTTCTAGCATTCTGCAGTTCAGTCCATAGATACTATCCATTTCATTGATACCAATGCATATGTAGTGTAGACCCTTGCTTGCGAGTACTTTGGATGAGTACTCATGGTTGCTTTGCTCCCTCTTTTCACCCTTTTCCATTCTTCTCGGACATTGCAACCAGATGTTGGAGCTCAGGAGCTAGATGCCACTGACGGTGACTCCTACTACACCGGAGGTGCCTACTACTACGTCTAGGCCGCCGACGACCAGGAGTAGTTAGGAGGATCCCAGGCAGGAGGCCTGCGCCTCTTTTGATCTGTATCCCAGTTTGTGCCAGCCATCTTATGGCTCCTTGTTTAACTTATGTCTGTACTCAGATATTATTGCTTCTGCTGACTCGTTTATGATCGAGCACTTGTATTTGAGCCCTCGAGGCCCCTGGCTTGTAATATAATGCTTGTATGACTTAATTTTTTTTAGAGTTTTGTTGTGATATCTTCCCGTGAGTCCCCGATCTTGATCGTACACGTTTGCGTGTATAATTTGTGTACGGTCAAATCGGAGGTATCACACGCAGGCTGACCTTGGACGCCACAACCTCAGCTACCTCATACCAATGGCGCTCAGGTGCGCCATCCAGCTCGGCATCCCTACCGCGATCCACCACCTCGGCGGTGCCGCGTCGTTGCCTAACCTGGGCACCGCGCTGTCCTCCCACCATAAAAGGCTTCATTCCTCAGTCGCCTCTTGCTACTGCTGTCCACGACGTGGGTGCTGGCGTCAAACGAGGTTGGGATCTACAGCCTCGTGCTGATGTCCAACCTCCTCGTGGATGGTATACTCGTTGATGGAGATGCTAGCCAGGCAGCACTTGTGCTCTGCTTGACCTCGCGGTATCACATGGAGGCGGCTATGGGGTTGGCCGTCTGGTTCAAAAAAAGATATCGCCCAACCCGTGCCGTCACCATTCGAGGACGTGCATGGCGTGACACTCTTCGAGGAGAGTATGGCCGTCCTCGACCCTGAGAGTGACAAGTTATTCAATGAAGCTTTAGCTGCCCATGAGCATATGGGAATCGGTACAATATTGCGGGAATGCCATGGCTTATTCAATGGCTTGCAGTCGCTCACCGACTGTTGTGGTGGTGATGGAACGACAACTAGAGCCATTGTTAAGGCCTTCCCTCACATAAAGTGCAACGTGTTGGACCTTCCAAGGGTGATCAATAAAGCTCCAAGCGATGTCCTCGTTAACTATATCGCTGGTGACTTGTTCCATTCCATCCCACCTGCTCAAGCTATAATGCTCAAGGTACAAACCATAATCTCTCTACCATGTTTCATTTTTTTGCCTGGATCCTGTGCCGGATAGATATTGTGATCTTGCGTCACTAGCAGGCACATTTTTTTGGTCTCGTTATTATTTATATCAAACTAAATACAAATGCTTATGCATAATTGCACTGAGTACATGGACTGTTTGTCCTTGAAAATACATTGTTTGACTGTAAAGATATTAGTCCATGCCAGCTTGTTCTACACTTCTGGAGCAACGAGAACTGCATCAATATCCTAACGATGCAAGAAGGCCATTCCTTCTCGAGAAGTGGGAGGAAAAGTTATTATCATGGACATTGTGGTTGACTCTTCTTCAGGACCGATGTTCGAAACCCAAATGCTGATGGATATGGTGATGATGGTATGTACCAGGGGACGACAACGTGATGAAAATGACTGGAGTTCCATCTTTATGAGGGCAGGGTTTAGTGACTACAAAATTGTCAAGAAGCTTGGAGCTCGAGGTGTCATCGAGGTCTATCCATAAGTTCGTGTTGCAAATGGTGTGATGGTGACCGTCTGGTATAAATTGGCGTGCTATAATAAATAAATAAATAAGTGAGACATGTGGTGCGTTACTATCTAATGGAAAACGCAATGTGATCTCTACAATTATTTAGCTCCCATGAAATGGAGCCCTCTGCTTCATCGTGGACTTTGGTCAAATGGTGGACCCCGTCAAAACTGATTTTCTAGCCAATGATTACTACGTGGCAACGTATTAGTAGAAGCGGAAGTAAAACTGATTTTCGTGACTCGATTGTTTGTTTTTTTGTTTGAGTCAACCGCATCGTCCAACGCTGCCCGACACATTTTTTCCGCATCCAGTTAAAAAACAATTTTGAAAGCATGCATTCAAATCAAAAATAAGTAAACATTAAATGGCCAACCGCGACAAAAGTCCACTTAAACATTGATAAAACAAAAAACTAAATAAACGCGCCTCCCAACCATCCAGCACGCTGCTCTAAGCGTCGCCATCGTTGCCATCGTCGCCAGTGAGGTCGACGAAGGCTGGCAGCGGCCCAGCCCATTGGAATGCGGTCTCCCACACCACACGCGCCGACTCCTACATCATCTGCCCATCGGCAGCATTGCTGCGGGGCGCGCGTTCCTCATTCTCCTGCTCCCGGCGCTCTTCCTCCACCTCCCGTGCCCGGCAGGCACGGTGCTCCTCCTCCTCGTGCTCGGACTGCATCCGGCGCTCGCCGTCGGTGCGCTCCTCACACAGGTGGAGTAGTCCCAGTGCTCCAGGTAGCCTCCTCTTGCTCCGGCGTGGCGCCCAACGCGATGGGCGGCGCGCTCACCCACTCGCGGAGGATGTCGGTCCACGCGTACAACTACGACTCCGGCTCAGTGTTCGGCGTCGGCGTGAGCGTGAGCGCCTGTGTGTGCTCGGGCTCGGCCTTGGGCTCGGGCAGCGGCGGAGCGTAGGCGCTGTCCCCCGCCATCGATAGCGTGTGTCCTCCTCGTGCTGGCTTTCCTCTAAGGCGCGCTGGAGCACCACCTTCAATGTGACCTGGTGGGCCGCCTCCTCCTCCGAAACCACCTCCGAGGGTGGCGGCACGAACCCAAGGTTAAGCTGCACACCGCCGCAGCGGGCCACGTCGTGCTCCGCAGCGAACCAGGCCTCCCGGTTGGGCGAGTCTTGCATGTAGGCAGGGGCCGCACCGATGCTCTGGCGTCAGAAGGCCGAGGCGCTTGCGCACCTCCTGCGTGTGCGCCTATGCCGACCACGCCATTGTTGGCATCGGGATGCGGTACGGGTCAAGGTGCTAGCCATGCGAGAGGTCAACATCTGGCCATGGCCGCGGTTGTCGGTAATTCTAGTGCCAACGTGCTTGGTGCACCTTGTTGTATAACCGGTCTCGTGGGCGGCGACAACTAGCCGCACGGGGATTCATCATGTAAGCTGACGGGGGCGGCGGCGGTGGCCGCGGCGGAGGTGGAGGCGGCATGCAGGACGAGCTCGTGCCGGCGTCAAGTTTGCCCTTGCTCTTGCCGAAGATAACCATGGCCAGCGCTTGCGTTGTCGGCGGCGAGGGGAGTGAGGGTGGCCAGATGTGGATGGAAAGGAGAAGTAGATGACCCCCCCTCCCCCCACCCACACACACTTACATTAGGAAGGACGAGCACACCGGGCGCTTCTAGACGCTGCTCAGGTTAGGTGCATGCAATGACACCGGTCGCGTGGAGTAGTTGTGTTGTCAATGCGCGAGCCTGAGGCGGACATCAAGCGGACACGCGGTGCCTCCGTCTCGTGTTAGCAAGGACGCAAATTTGGGCCAAATGCATTTAGACGGGCATAGAGCGGACGGCTTTTGGGTTAGGTTCATCGCATATGGCCGGTATTTTCATTCATTTGGATGCAAACAGACACACGCGAACAATTTAGGTCCTTACGCCTAGAGTTCCTCTAATCTTGGAGTTCCTCTAATCTATGTCAACAACTGCTTGTTGCAAGGGACTAATTGACGTCAATAGCTCCTTGCTTCTTGCTCATGTGTTGATGTCTACTTCAAATTGAGTTTAAAATGGGTTTAACCTGAAGTTTTAAAATGGTTTTTGTTGGTTTCGGTTGGAGAGTTTGGTTTGTATAAATTTGGATTGTGTTGGTAAGTTTTATTAGTTTGCATGGTCTATGACTTAAACCTTTTCCTGGCCGGCTTGCCTATTTGCTGATGAGCAGTACTGGTCCAATTTCTTTATTTGTTCAAAATTTTGCCGAATGTTAAATGGCGGAACTGAACATTATATATTTTTTTAAAAATAATGTTGCTAATTTTTTTACTTCCCCTTGTCATATCTTTTAAGGTTCTAAACTCTTAAGGAATGTTAGCTCCTGGTCCATCAGGGCTTTGTGGAGCTGGCGGGTCCACCTATAAGAGAGTGAATCGCTCATGTGTTATTTGCTTGGGTCCACTCCCAGGCGAACGTGACACTCATATATTGATTGATGTGTTATACATAAGAATACCACAACCACCCACAAAACAATTTAGTTCACCTCTCAGATAGATGTTGTCTCTATCAAGCAAGAGCGAAGCCAACAAAAAGGGAAATCATTAGTGCAATTAAAAGTCAGCTTAACTCACATGAAATACACAACAAACCCACCGACCATAATATCATGTCAAATAAAAAGGATGGCCTAACTCATGTCTAACGACGGCGCGGCAAAGCGCGTGTCAATCTCTAGTAAAAGTTGGTAGCTGAAACTTTAAGGGCTACCAAATGGCACATGTGGTAAGTAATCCGAGCTTGATGAAACGTTTGGGGCGTGGTCGCGACAAAACTAGTATGTATTTTTTTTTTTGAGGAAGTATGTGCATGAAAGTTGGTATCGAGAAGTGTTGAGGCACTCGGTGTGTATCTATGTACGTGCCATGTTTGTATACTCCAACACGAGGAGATATTATGCTTACCATGTCTGTCTATTTGATGATCGGTAAATCCACAAACGTGAAAGATTATGCCCTCGGCCAGGTAGAACTCGCGACCCTAACACATAGGACGGGTGCAGAAGACATTCCACTGCGTTGGTAGCAGCTTTCTAAGCGCTACTAGTTAAATACATATTTATATAAAGGTAAAAAAGTGAATTTTAAATTTGATTATAAATTTCATCTGAGATGTTTGATATTTCACGGTTACCTTGTAAAGGGGACCCCTCCCCCGCCCCCGGCGCGTTCTCTCTCGTGAGAAAAATATCCAAAATCTTGTAAGAAATAGAAGGGTGGATCCACACACCCTCCCCCCACCCAACAATCTTTGATGAACAAATCAGCGAAAAAACATGGTGCAGTGGTCCCCGGCAGCAAGAGAAACAAGAACATGTCGTAGTCTAGTAAGAAATAGAAAAGGTGCGCTGCCGTCATCGCCCTCCCTCGCTAGAGTTGGAAAATCTTGTTGTAGCAAACAGTCAGAAAGTCGTCATGCTAAGGCCTCATAGGACTAACGCATCAGAAACAAGAACCACCATCAATGGAGAGACACGTAGATCAGAAGGATCTCACTTGAAGACACACGAATGTAGACGAATGAATGCCGGATTCGAGTAGATCCACCAAACACAACCACCGAGCGAATCATGAGAGTTTTATCGGAGACACACCTCCACACGCCCTCCAATGATGCTAGACAAACCACCGAAATGGGGTCTAGGCAAGTAGAACCTTATTCCATCATCAAGGAGCCGAGATCTTCTCGTCTTCCTGAGCAGGGCACAAACCCTAACAAAATCAAAAGAATCGTCTAACAACGGAGCCCTCCTACCGGCAAAGGCCAGGATCCACCGCGCCTCCACGGCTCTAGGGCTACCAGAGACAAGCTGGGCTGGTGGTGTCGCAGGTGGGAGACGAAGGAACCCTAGCTTTTTTGGAGGAGGAGGCGGCGGCTACATAAGAGACTATATATATATATATATATATATATATATATATATATATATATATATATATATATATATATATATATATATATATATATATATATATATCTTCTAATTTTTACCACCTCAACGTCTTAGCATGGAATCGATCACAGGAAAAGTAAATCTAAAGGCGAAGGTACAAACCGGTGAAGGATCCACCACTCGTCCCTTCGTGAAGATTGGTGCAGCCAATCCTGGTATAATGTTGTGAATGTTTGCTGAGATTGGAGCGGCACAAGAAGCTGTGATCCTTGCTGAGAAGATGGAGATTATTTGTTCATGTTATTATGTAAAGACCTGAACGAGGATGCTGAGTAATGAACGATTAATTACATCCATTTTCGGGGAAAAAAAGAGAGGGCACTCACAAGGCAGATTTGACCGACTGTAAAACTTGATCCGTAGAAGTGACTGGAAATCTCTTCGCGCACATCATATAAAAGATGCGCGTGCATCACGCGGCAACTAGCTCGTCGTTGTTTATCCGACCAATGCATGTGCTAGCTAGTAAAACAACTATTAGATCAGAGACCTTACGAACCCCACCTTTGTTGCAGTAATTCTGCCCTCTGTGCTATTTCCGGGTCGTCAAGGCTGTTCAGTTTATTATGACGCGCGATGTGTGATGTCTCTTTGTCGTGCACAACCTGCTAGCTATCTTAGGTCGATTGGCCTCCACTCAGCAGACGGAAGCGCAGTGCGGCTTGGATTCATAACAAAATAGAAATAAAAAAAATCCTATCCTATCCTATATTTGAGAGCTAATCCTCTCCTATATCCTCTATTTTGTAAGTTTTTAAGCAGTTTATCCATTTCCAGCACATGCAAACCCTCCACTTCATCAACCATATGCAGTTCATTAATATTTCACTTTCTACCACATACAAACCTCCATAACAGATACTCCCTCCTGTCCTTTTTAGTTCGCATATAAGGTTTGTCTGAAGTCAAACCTCATAAACTTTGACCGAATTTATAGAGAAAAATACCAACATTCAGAATGTGAAAATCAACAACGTTAGATGCGTCATGACTTTATGTTTTCATATTGTATAAATTTAGTATTGTACATATTAATATTTTTTCATATAAATATGGTCAAACTTTATGAAGCTTGACTTCAGACAATTCTTATACGCGAAGTAAAAAGGACCGGAGGGAGTACATGCAAGCCCGCCATGTCATCTTCCTTTATTTTTATTTTCACCAACAAATTATTCCATCTCGATCCATACTCGAAAGACAGAGTACAGGCCAAGTGTACCTTGGGAGCACATTGCATTAAAGCCAGTATTTAATGAGCTGTCCGTGAAACAAATTATCTGGCAGTATAACGGAAAGGAATCTTGAGCTGACCCGCTCTGCTCCTGAGCTGTGTGCGTAACGAGGCATGTCGACGCGCATGGCCCTGTCATGCAACAAACAGCTCCACGCTCAGCTTTTGAGCAGTGTGGGTAAGAAATTTCGACGAGCACAGCTCACCTCGAGTTCCACGAGTGAATGATTAAATCAGTGTTAATTTCTGTAGCAGTAGGCAAAAATGCACGCTATATAAACCCTCCTAGCTAGGTAAGTAATCAACACACACACAACACCAGCCTCATAGCAAAGAGAAAGAGAAAGCAATGGCTGCCAAGTCTTCACACACGACGACAATCCCCACCGACGCTGAGCTGGTCCAGAGGCGCAGGCTGACCTTTGGCGCCACAGCCTCAGCTACCTCACACCAATGGCGCTCAGGTGCGCCATCCAGCTCGGCATCCCTACCGCGATCCACCGCCACGGTGGTGCCGCGTCGTTGATTGACCTGGTTACCACGCTATCCCTTGTTGGCGCCGCCTCACCTCGCAGCGCCACTTCTTCTTCTACCTTGAGCTGCCTCACACAACTCTCCGTCTCTCTCAAGCTACTCTTCTCCTCGGTGGCTTCCCACAAGAACACTCACACACACACAACGCACGCATATACCAAGGAAGAGGAACGGCTTTGCCAGAGACACTCCCTTGGTGAACCACAATGGCTACATGGTTTCTCTGCTCAGCCCTCTCGGCCTCACTTCATTACTCAGTATGCAACATGTATATATACATCAGGTGCTGGACTCACGCACGCACTACCAGCCACCTTAACCGGCCACTAACAGCACCCTCCACGCACTAACCCATTCGCCAACTGACTAGCTACATGCACGCCCATGTCAATCACTAACAAACTCACGCATGCACTGACTCTTGACTCGGCTAGCACCACGCACACATGCAGCTACAGCCTCACATACTCTAACTAATTCTGACTTGGCCAAATCACTTGGCTCAACCTGAATGAGCAGCCCGTCACGCTCCAGCCACGGTCGCATCTTGCCGCATCACACGGCGTTGCCTTATCGCATAGCAATATCGACATTTCCTCGTGCTCGCCGCGTCGCACGGCAGCCTGACATCTCATCTTCTCCGCGTGCCTCCGCTGAAGCTTCACCGGACTAGCTACTCTCTAACCTATCCTACATGCACAACGAAAGCAAACTAAATATGCAGATACATGGAATCAAGATTAAGTCTAACATTCACCCCCTAATCTTGATTCTCCTATCATCAACGCAGATCATCTGCAACCTCTTGCCGAGACTTTGCAGCGCCAAGACCACACCACCTTGCCTCACGCTGCAGCTTCACCATGCTGCACCATCGATCTCCACTTGCATGTTCTTCAGCGGCATCACACCACTGGTCACGTACATCTTGCCGCCGTCGTCGCAGCAGCTCACCTTGGGGATGGCGTCACACCACCCAAAACACCACCGTCAGCTAGCTTCACATCTATCCTCATGATGGCCTCGCACGCCGTACATCGATCTTCTCAGCGGCATCTCATCATCGTCTTGTCGGCATCGCACCGTCGTCCTGGCAGCATCGCACTGCCATCTCCTCCTAGCGGCATCACACCGCAACCACCTGTTCGCGCGGCATCACATCGGCGAAGACCTCCTTGTCGTGGACGACGCCGTCGCAGCGCCGGACACCACCGTGCACCATCTTGTCGTGGTCGACGCCGTCGCAGCGCCGGACACCACCATGCACCATCTTGTCGTGGTCGACGCCGTCACAGCGCCCATCACCACACCATCATCATCTTGCGGCATCGCACCGCAACCGGCCACCAGCGGCATCGCGCCGCCAATGGCCTTCATCTCGCACGGACGTCCTCCACGTCACATGGAGTCCGCCGCGTCGTCGTCACCGCCATCGCTTCCGCGGATCGACAAGGCTCTGATGCCAATTGTTGGCGCCGCCTCACCTCGCAGCGCCACTTCTTCTTCTACCTTGAGCTGCCTCACACAACTCTCCATCTCTCTCAAGCTACTCTTCTCCTCGGTGGCTTCCCACAAGAACACTCACACACACACAACGCACGCATATACCAAGGAAGAGGAACGGCTTTGCCAGAGACACTCCCTTGGTGAACCACAATGGCTACATGGTTTCTCTGCTCAGCCCTCTCGGCCTCACTTCATTACTCAGTATGCAACATGTATATATACATCAGGTGCTGGACTCACGCACGCACTACCAGCCACCTTAACCGGCCACTAACAGCACCCTCCACGCACTAACCCATTCGCCAACTGACTAGCTACATGCACGCCCATGTCAATCACTAACAAACTCACGCATGCACTGACTCTTGACTCGGCTAGCACCACGCACACATGCAGCTACAGCCTCACATACTCTAACTAATTCTGACTTGGCCAAATCACTTGGCTCAACCTGAATGAGCAGCCCGTCACGCTCCAGCCACGGTCGCATCTTGCCGCATCACACGGCGTTGCCTTATCGCATAGCAATATCGACATTTCCTCGTGCTCGCCGCGTCGCACGGCAGCCTGACATCTCATCTTCTCCGCGTGCCTCCGCTGAAGCTTCACCGGACTAGCTACTCTCTAACCTATCCTACATGCACAACGAAAGCAAACTAAATATGCAGATACATGAAATCAAGATTAAGTCTAACATCCCTCCCGCCATCAAAGGCGCCGTTCCTCAGCCGCCTCTTGCGGCTGCTGTCCACGACGGGGGTACTGGCGTCAAACGAGGTTGGGATCTACAGCCTCGTCCCGCTGTCCTACCTTCTCGTGGATGGTGTACTCGTTGATGGAGATGCTAGCCAGGCAGCTCTTGTCCTCTGCTTGACCTCGCGGTATCACATGGAGGCGGCTATGGGTTTGGCCGACTGGTTCAAAAACGATATCGCTCAACCCTTGCCATCACCATTCGAGGACGTGCATGGCGCGACACTCTTCGAGGAGAGTATGGCCGTCCTCGACCCTGAGAGTGACAAGTTATTCAATGAAGCTTTAGCTGCCCACGACCATATGGGAATCGGTACAATATTGCGGGAGTGTCATGGCCTATTCAATGGCTTGCAGTCGCTCACCGATTGTTGCGGTGGCGATGGAACGACGGCTAAGGCCATTGTCAAGGCCTTCCCTCACATAAAGTGCAATGTGTTGGACCTTCCCAAAGTGGTCGATAAAGCTCCGAGCGATGGTCTCGTTAACTATGTCGCTGGTGACATGTTCCACTCCATCCCACCAGCTCAAGCTATAATGGTCAAGGTACAAATAAAGTGATATCTCTCTGCAAAGTAGTATTTTTTTCTTGGATTCTATATCGCATAGAAATTGAGATCAGTAATGTGCACATACTTTTTAGGGTCCTTTTTATTTAAATGAAAACAATGACCAATACTCATGCATAATTACACCGAGTTCATAAACTGTGTCCTTTATCATTGCTTAACCATATAGATATTTCTCCGTGCTAGCTTGTTCTACACTTCTGGAGCGACGACGACTGCATCAATATCCTAGCTCAATGCAAGAAGGCCATTCCTTCCCGAGAAGCAGGAGGAAAAGTTATTGTCATAGACATGGTGGTTGATTCTTCTTCACCGATGTTTGAAACTCAACTGTTGATGGATGTGGCAATGATGGTATGTACGAGAGGACGACAACGGGATGAAAATGATTGGAATGCCATCTTTATGAAAGCAGGGTTTAGCGACTACAAAATTGTCAAGAAGCTTGGAGCTCGTGGTGTCATGGAAGTCTATCCATAAGGTTGTGATGCAAATGTTGTGATGGTGACCGTTTGGTATAAATAAAGTACGTAGTGGTGTGCTATAAGAAATAAATAAGGGAGTCTGGTGCCTTGCTTTTTAATGGAAAACACAATGGAACTCAAATTAGTAGCTCAGCCCGTGCCTTGTCACAACATAACCGGAGCGTGTATTTAAATTAGTTTTGAGAAGTATTGAGTCACTCAGTGTGTGTCTGTGTACACGGTATGTTTGTATGCTCCAACATGCTGAAATATCAAGTTTATATTATGTTATATGCCTAGCAATAACCTTATTTTCAAATGGAGAGCAGTCGTATATATATGGCTGTCATGCTAATATCCTTTCCCCAACTCTCGTCGTTGCCACCATATGTACAAACAAGCAACAACAACCGATTCCTCTAGTCCCAAAGTTCCCAAGACATGAGACTGCCCTTTTTTATTGCATAAGATATATTCGAGCACAACTGAGCCCGATCTGTCCACAATCAGGGCATATTTAATGACATCATGAAGACCCAGTTCCTCCCAAATGCACCAGGCACGAGGACATGTGAAGAGGAGATGATAAATATTCTCTGGACCCGTCTAGCATACCGGGCATTGCGGCGATACAGGGATATGTCTTGTTGGCAAGACAACCTTTCCGGGCACGGTACCATGCAAGGCCTTCCAAATGAAAATTTTAGTCTTGCTTGGCACTTTTAACTTCAACAAAATATCCCATACAGGGTTTGGTCTTGAAGCTCCCTGTCCATCTTCTCTTTTCACCCCTAGCACCAAATTGATGCTCCCATTCTGTATAGTACGCCGATTGTACCGAGAATAAGAAGATTATGTGTTGTGCCAAGAAACAAGATCATCCTGCTTGTGCTCACTCAATGGGATCATAAGAATATTGTGCATCAATGGGCAAAAGAGATATTCATCCCACCTGCAGGAGTCATGATCACTTAACACATCAACTATTCGAAGAATGCAATTCCCTCTTCTGGTAATGATCTTTCTAGAAGAGCAATTTGGGACCCAGTGGTCCTCCCAAATATAGTTTTTTGCTCTGTTTCCAACTCTCCATATGTGTCCATGTCTGAAAGATTGCACACCCGCGAAAATGCTCTGCCGTGTGAAAGAAGAGCCCTTTTTGGATCTAGCGGCTCGGAAGGTTTCCATTAGAATAGTATTTAGCCCTCAACACCTGAGCGCATAATGAGTCCTGGTTATTGAGGAGTCTCCAAGACTGTTTGGATAGCACAACAACATTAAAAGAGTGCAAATCATGAAACCCCATGCCTCCGAGCTTGTTTGGTATGCACATTATCCACCAGGAGAATCAATGCATTTTTCTTTGACCATCTGAGTCACCCCACCAAAAAGCAGACATAACATCATTCATCTCCTTATATAATTTCTCGGGATCTAAAAACTTTCATAGCAAACACCGGAATTGATTGTATCACCGCCTTAATTAGAATTTCGTTTGCACCCAAGGACAAAAGCTTCTCCTTTCACCCCTTGAGCCTTTCAATGATTCTCATCAGAAGATAAATAAAACTATCACTTCTATCCAGCCCCACCATGGAGGGTCATCCAAGATATTTATTCACATATGGCTTCAGTGAAAATATTTAATTCAGTGCAGATCAGAGCTTTCACATCTACATCCACATTTGAACTGAGGAAAACACTGCATTTCGCTTCACTAATTTGTTGTTCAAAGTTGCAAAAATGCATAGGAGCATCCGCGGGATCACCCTCCCTATATCTCACCACTGAGTAAGCATAGGGATCTGTACCACTATATTAATCTGCATGTATTCCTCAAATTTAATTGGACGTATGCTTTGTTTTAGGAGAGGTGTTTTTTATAGTCTTAATGATCTGTGACAAAAAAATAAATGGATCTACATGTGAATGATTGGACACTTGGACTGGACATCTGACAATGCCCCATATGCATGTAAATTTTACGAGCCCTACGTTTTGAATCATATAAACACATTTAATAAATGCATCTACATCTGAACACATCTTCATATGATTACTGTTTTTGACGAATCATATAAACACATCTAATATTTAGTTGTACACTTCGCAGCTTGTGGAGTACCAAGTTCCTAGGAAATTTCTTTCAACACTAATTCCTAGAAAATTATGTAGGTAAATCCAAGAGATTTCTCAACATATTTCTTGTTATTTTTTTAAGTGAAAAACTGAGAACGTCATCGTAATAGTTCCAGAAACTTCCTTAATAATCTAAGTTTAAAAAAAATATCGAAGGAATTATTCTGTTCTAAGAAGCTGAGAATTTAATAATAAGATTCTAAGGAAGGCACAATTAATCGTCAAAATCCAAACAAATGTATCCCATCACATAGGCACAAACAAAATTGCTACATGCCATCGGTGGAAGAGACAGTTTCTATCTTTACATTTTTACAGTGCTTCGTCCTGGTTCTTTTTATTAAATGGACGTGTACCAAAAGTCTTTGCCATTCATTGCTCCGTTGAAATCTTTGGTATGTTTTTCAGGCATAGTACCTCAGACTGAATGACCGGAGAGCATTTACTGTTGGCATATACACAAACACGTTGTATTGCGTTCTTGCTGCCAATTAAAATAAAACATGCACCGATCCCCAAACAAACAACTAGTGGCTTTGATTCATGGGGTGTGCCTCGCCATGTGCTCCTAGTCCGATTCCTCCCAAGTTGGCACAATATTCATCCAATACTTGTCTCAATGAGGTTGCATTAATCAAAACAACAAAGGAAGTGCTTTGAGATTGGTTCAAAAAAAAAGGTGTTTTGAGTACAACCTTTAAAAAATAATATTATTATCGATGTAAATCAATGGTAAAGATTAAAACTTACCCCTTCATTGAAAAGGATCTTTTAGTATATGAAGAAAAGCTCAAACTTTTTAAATTTTTTAAATATATTTGTCAACTATTTAAGTTAGTACAAAGAACATCGGAAGTAAAAGTTACATTTAGGTTCTTAGACCACTCAGTGATGACGTACAAGCACTCGAGCGAGCAGAAGACGTGCCGTCGCCATCGCTCATCCACCGCCGGAGCTGGACAAACCTTGTTGTAGTAGATAGTCAAAAAGTCGTCATGTAAGGCCCCAGAGGACCAGCACACCAAAACAGCAACCGCCGCCCATGAAAAAAACCCAAAGATCCTTAATCAATTTGATTCATGTGTTTTCTCTCCCTACGCCGCCACGCCACCTTTGATGTCGCCCAAGATGGCCATGGCCTCGCCGCATGCTCTGAGTATCATACAGTCGATCGTGTTGCCAACGGTGTGCTCTGCTCACTCCGCCATTTGCGCGTCCGTCATCATCGCCGCTGTGCTGTGGACCATGGGATGCGCGTCCTGCGTCGTGCCTTGCAGCGGACCTCACCATCACATTCATCGGGGAGCGAGGTCACTTACAGTTCTTGTCGTGGTCTGTGCCAGTTGTTGCCGTCCGGGGCGGAGCTTGCTTACCTACAGCCGTCCACCGTCACGTACCTAGGTTTGCCTACCTCCGGTGCATGCGGCCGTGTGGCCCGGGCCTAGGGCGTCGGGGAGGTTGCATCCAGTTGGTTATTGCATCGGCCGACTGAGGCAACGCGGGCGACGCCCGCGGCGAGCGCCGCGATCCGGGCGCCGGCGCCCGTTGACCCTGGTACGAGGCATATCGGCGGGCGGTTCTGGATCCTCGCGGCATCGGACAATGAGGATGACGACGGCGGGGATCACGCCGGAGCTTCGCCGGACGAATACTCACCAACGCCTTCGTACATGATCTGCGAGGCGTTTAGTCCTGGGTATTCGGAAGAGGAGGTGGCCACGTTGGTGGACGACGTCGTGCCAAGTGATGATCCGGCGCGGCTTGGGCTGCATCCCGAGGACGAGGTGGAGGTAGTTCGCCGGGTTATTCACCGGAGGACGGCGGTGACTGCGATCCGGCCTTGGAAAGGGCCGCTACCTAAGGTATGCATCAAACCTTTAACATTGTCAGATTTCTTCCAGCCAGATTCATGGACTCGTGTAGTCAGTAAGAAAAAGAAGAGGAAAGGGAGGCCGGAGGCGGCACCGCCGGCGCCGGAGATTAGCACGGTGGCTGAGATCCGGGCGGCTAGGGCTGCCCGTTTGAAATTCATCTTGGGCCGATCTGAAGCTGTGGATGAGCGGGCCGGCTTGGACCTCGTGAGTGGGTATGTGGCCCAACATGAGGAAGCCGAGGAGGGGCTAGGTGGACCGGTGCGTATTGGGTATGTGGCCCAGAAAGATCAGGTCGCTCCTCCTGTGCCTATCGACACATGCAGCGATCACGATCGACGTGAGTCTGAGTCTTCATCGCTGCCACCGCATAGGTTTTCTTCGCGACGTGCTTTGCCTGGCTTTCTCGGTGCGGAATAGGCCGTGCCGCCCATATTCCCCCTCTCACCATGGCTGGGCGAGGGGGTGCTCCGCCGGGACCGAGGCCGTCGGGAGCTGCCGGGGTTCTGCCGACAAGCCGTGGAGCTGCGCCTCCCTCGGCCCAAAGGCAACCTGTGGCTGCCGGTAACGCGGACACGGGCCGTGCTGCTGCGGCTCCGCCTGGGCAGCGGCCGGCGGGGGCCGGGGGTATGGCTTCGGCTAGAAGTGGTGGTGCCCCACCACCGGGTCAGCGGCCACCGACTGCCTTCATGGTCGTGCAGGCTGTGGCGGGTTGAGGTGCGGGCTCGTTGGGACCTCGGCCGCCACCGCCTGGGGCCGCCGTGGTGGCGCAGCGCAAGCAGGCGCAGACACAGGGGTTGCAGCCTCGGGCTCCGCATCCCCATGTTGCTGCTTGGCCGGTACAGAAGCGCGCTGGACCGATGCCAAATACTGCTCCGCCGCAACAAGAGAGTGATGGGGGCGCCAGTCTTGCTCAAGTGTCAGTCCACCGTGCTGCTAATGGACCACCTCGGGGTCAATGGGGCGACGATGGCATTAATTCTTACAGCGAGGGGCATCATCGTGG